TAGAATATTATATTATTTGTGAAAATCAAATTTTTAATCTAATAGCTTTTAAAAAAGATATTTCTCTTTTTGTAAATAGAAGTTTCTACAGAAGCTATTGATACTTTATCATATGCTAGTATAATGATTTTACAAAGATATCTAAATAAAGAAAAGATAGCTATTGCTAATAATCATTTATATAAAGTTGTTTCATATCTAGAAGCTAAAAAAGATAATATGTTAGTTCTTAACATCAATAATTATCATAATATTTATACCAAACAAATACCGAATACTAGTGCATATAACTACTTTGTTACTAAATGGTGTTGATTTAATGGCTATTTTTCAAGTTACAACAAATAGTATATTAATTTACAATTCAAATTTTGTTGATTCTAACCTTATTTATAATTTTTTTAAACAGCATCTATATGAAATAAATAGCCAAAATGTTTAATGACCAGTTTTACTACAAAATATCTTTGAACAAGAAACTTGAAAATATGACTCTTTACAAATATAATTTTTGTATACAAGAATATTAGAAAGAATGTAAAATGAAAGATACAATTCTTTTAGATTTTTTTGAATTAAGCTTTAAAGATATGAATTCATATCTTAATGCTTTTTAACAAGTTCATAAAACTTCTTTATTAACTAATTATTTAACTAATAATGTTATTCTAATTGTAGCTAATTGGTCTGAGCAGATATTTATATGACAAGCTATTACTCTTTATTTACTAAACCATAAAGATAATATATCAAAAAACATATTATCTTTCATTCTAATTATTGGAGTTCTTCATATTTAGCTAAATTTACTTTAATCTATTGTTACAGTATCGTGGCCTTCTTAACAGCAGTACTATAACAATTACATGGCTACAGGGATCCTTTACAGGTTTATAGCGGTGTCCAACAGGTAAGTATAATTTTTACTACAATTAGAAACTATACCCTTCCATCTGTGGCAGTTCGGGCAGATAATAGTTTATAGATAAATATATGTTTTATTAAAGAGAATAGGATAGGTTATCTTTAGGTTCCTATT